ACGAGCCACGGAATATTTTTCTGCAGTTTATAACCTCAGAATCGGGGCTGAAATTTAAATATTTTTCTATGATAGTCACAATAGTTAGTTATTGTAATGAGTAGGCTTCGGAAGTGGTTGCATTTGGAACTTTTTTTTTATTGTTCAGATTTATTACTAAGTAGATTATAAATTTGTTCCATGTAAGTACGAATTAAAATCTAAATATTTTTAATGCAAATTTATGCAATATTTGGCATTTTTTCGATTTTCTTTATTCATAATACAATTTTAGATACTTTTAAATATTATTCATATGCTTTTATTATTTTTATGCATATGAAAGAGATTAATATATGTCAGAATAAAATTATAGTAATAAATAATAATTTATGGTTTTATCGGAAATATTATTTTATAAGACAATGCACAAATTTTGTTTCCTTAAATCAGAAATCTTTCGAGTTTTGATACTTAAAGGAATCATTAATTATGCATCGCAATCATTTTTTAAGGTAGACACACAAACGTGTATTAAAAATAATATAAAAATTGTTCAAATAAAACGTTTTTTAATGTTGATAACTAGTTTTTTATCAACTGATGTGAATGAACATTTTATAAGTATTAACCATATATTTTTTACTTTATTGTTTTATATATATATATATATGCAATGCCGGAATACCCGTTAGACGGAGGAGGCGCCTCACTCATTTAAGGTGCCCTATGAAAACGGAAAACTATATTTTTTTCTATTTAATAATACTCATATTCTATTTACGAATTTACGGGACAAAAGTCATTATGAAACATAATATATATTAATATGTAAGTGTTATGTGCAGTAATAATAATTAAATTATTTCGAAAAAAAATAGAAATAATATAATAATTAATTAATTTTTCTCGCAAATGTAAAAATTTAATAAACATGATTTTATTTATTAATAATAGTGAGTTATTTTTAAAGCTTTTAATTTTAATTATTGGATAGTAATGTTAAAGATGTACGTAAAAAATAATTTTGTAGGACCCAAAATTTTAATTGCCCAAGGGTCCACAAATGTTTAATCCGGCACTGTATCTATGTATACTCTAAATTGTAAATAAGTCATAAACACTAGTCTAGTCTTACTCATAGTCATCAGTATGAAGAAAAAAGACACGAAGAAAAAAAAATCATATATTCCAGTATTATTTGATTATTGCCTATTATATATAGTATATTCTACATACTATCGGTTTAATTTTTGATATCGTTAAGCAACTGAAAAATTAGTAGTGATTTTATTAGAACATGTCTTATGACTGAAATAATAACCTTTAAATTTATGACAACCTACAATATTTTCCATCGGTGGTTTACGCAAACCATATTTATATCATATTTATATGTATGGAACATGTATTTATAAAATAATTATGCAAATACCGATTAAAATAATCACAGAATTTTAATTAACCATTTCATCTTCAAAAACAACTTAAAGATAACATTATAGCAAATCACTTTCGGTAACATAAATTTTTCCATTCATTAATGATTGATAAAGAAAAAAGTTTTATTTTTTCACCACAGACATTTTACGTTTACGATTCGAATAAAATTATAACTCATAGAATTTGCAAGTGACGAACTACGCTGTGTTAAAGAAGTATTTCAAGGGTGTACTTCATTAATTTCATTATTAAGTTCATTAGATGATTAAAACTACAAAATAATTTTAACTATCAATACTTTTATGGCTAATTCCATAATTAATTATGTATACCAAAAATAACGTGCTGATTGCCTGAAAACGTCATATTAATTACATTTATCATTTTCAAAACGATAAATTACCAGATGTCTGACATTTTTATGCCGTTTTAATTTAGGTCAGGTATTTTATTTATTAGTTTTTATTTATGTTCATTAAACACAATGCCTATATAATTAAAGAATCAAAAAAAATCATTTATAATACGGTTATCATAATCGAAAATCGAAATAAGAGTTTTTTCGTTCATGATTGTTGAGAAACATTTTAAAACTGACTGGGAAAACTTCAAATAGGACATGTTCCTGGTTTTTATAATGAAAATCGTTTAATTATTATTTTTTTTTACATCATCTATAAGATTTAAGATAATTCAATTTTAGACCGTGGAAATGACAAGGAAAATATGGGTTTGAGGGTTTTGAAAAAAAGTTGATAATATGTTTTAGTTATAGTTCTGTAGTTGTTGTATACGGGTTGTGATCAGACTATAGAAACTCAAAAAGGTGAAAACCGATGAAAAAAATTTGGTGTGCGTTGCACGAATAATTTTGCATACGGTTGTATAAATATTGTGACATTAAAACATTAGGAGATAGTTGTTGTTATTATATATTTTTCAATCGTAAGAACTAATTCGGCTTTTGCTCCTAAAAAATTGTCAATAATAATAATAATAACAAAATTGTTCTCATGTTTGTCACATTTTATAGAGTTCAAAAAGAAAATGGGCTCTGTGTGACTTGCACGTTTCTGAACACGAGTTTGTACATCTGATTGATTATGGTTGTTATTATGGTTGTTGTTGTTGTTGTTGGCATACGAATTATATTGTATTTATGGTGTGCAAGAACAAGTCAAAATTGTTCTGGTAATTATGCACAATGGCTGTAAAACGCTTTCAAGGAAACGAACTTCAAAGTTTTTTAAGAAATAAATCGTAATACCTATTGATTTTTCACTTTTCCTAGAAACACGAAACGACCAAACGGACTATTAGGTAACAGAAGCCAGTCTATCCCGTGCACTTATACAGTTCCATGTATACGTATACATTTATATTAGCTCACTGAATGTTTTACGATTATAAAACGTACAGTATATAAGGACGGCGAAGAATGCGATCGAATTCAAACGTTTTTGTTTTTGCCGCTTTAGATCCATTTTCAAATACTCTCGTGTTTACATGGTTTAACCCAAAACGGATTTACCACTCTTGGCTTGCGTGTGTATGTATGTGCGAGCGTGCGCGTACGTGCATGTATACGAGTGTGTGTTTGATACTTTACTGTGTCTTTTCATTGCATGTCTAATGTGCATAAAATGTGCCTACCTTTCGGTGTGCGACTCGCAAAATTATCATAACCCACGGGAGGGAAACGAGAAAGCGGAGCAGTGAAATGGACGAAAAGGTGAAACGCGGAAGGGGTGAATGAAATATTTTTTATTTTATTTTTATTTTTTTATATAATAGCAAACTTTTATTATCCGTCCCGATATTTAACTGTATATATTTGTTATTATTGTTCAGAGGTTTGACATGTTTCGTTTAGGTACATACATATATTGTATGTCGAATTTATGCGTTTCGTATGACATTAAAATAAATCGCTGTAGACTATGTATTACGTACAGATAATAATATAATATTGTTCAAATGTACACATAATCGTTATCATATACATACACACACACACACACACACACTAACACTCCCAAAGTTGTTTTCTAAACTTTTATTTAATATCATGTTGAAATATACGATTAATTGGTGGATACATTTAATAAAATGTCTACAGGAATGTGGTTTGAGTGAAAAAGTACTCGAGTAAAATATCAAACTAAATACAATATATGTTAAAAATATTGAACAATATATAATGAGAATCTTAAATGTAATCATATCTTAAGTAATAAAATAAATAAATGTTATACATATAGTTAAAGTTTATAATGTCTTCGTTGGGTTTAAATAAACTTAATTTTTTTAGAAACAACTGGAAAAAAAAGCTTATATTCTTATGTTGGCTTCCAATTGTACTAATACGAATTATTCGGAAAAAAGTACTAAACGAGTTCTTTTTACTTTTACAGCTGATTTTCTGAATTAATTAATTTGGTTTGGATGTCGGATAAACCATTGACAATATATTATCGATTATAATAATATATAGTTTAAATAATAATTAATACCAGTCACCAACCATATTTTTAATTTCGTTTAAGGTCTTTTGTATAATATTATTTAACACACTGTTGTGTGTACGAATGGTAACAAAACATTTTATTTTTGTAAAAAGAGTTCTTAGAATTTAGTTGACCGTGGCCATTTGAACTATAAATTAAATTGATTTTTTTTTTGAAAAATGTAATTAGTTCGGTATAATCATAGAAGTGTACGAATCGTTTACAATAAGATTGTACGGTTGAGATTTTATTTTTTCAAGATATCATAAATAATTCAAAATCGTAGCGTGCAGAAAACTATTTGCAACGGAGGATAAACCGAAACTAATGTTGTTCGAATAACATATATGACTTCATATTAGTGAACTTTTTTTTTACATAATTGTTCAGTAATATTTATTTTAGCGGCGAAATGCTTTTCGATACAATTCGACAGGATATTTAATAGGGGGAAAAAAATTGAATTTCCTTGCTCGACCTTGAAACGTGGCTTTTTTTAGAACGTTTCGTTACCACATTTTCGTATCCTTACCAATCAACTCTTTTCGTTCGTATCTTTTTAAGTCTTCCTTTTCCTTTGACTTTTCCCCCGCATCCGTATTCAAAACTCGCGATTCGCCGTCCCCTCGCCCGTTCCCGTCACCACGACATAATCATTGTGTTCACCACGACAGGACCTGGTGGGCCCACACACCGCCCACCACTGCCGTCATCCGGGTCGTTTCCTCGCGCACCAGTTCCGGACCTGGTGCCGAGGGGCGGGGGAGGTGCCTACCGTTTCAGACCCATTGCCGGTGTCGAAACGAAAAACGAAACAAAAACATGTTTCGAACGCGTTCGAATCGTCCGGGTCGTTCGTTGGCGCTTTCCCGCGCATTCTCCGAGTTCGCAGAAACGGCTAGTGCTGACCCTGAGAGTGCCCGAGGGTGGTCGATACGCGCGTAGGATCGTGGCCCCGGCGCGGAGGCGGACCATCGGGGGGAGTGGTAGGAGGGCGGAAACTGATAACGGTCGAGGTTCGCGCGCCCCACCCCCCACCGTTAACCTGTAAGCCGTAGCGCGTATACTGACCGTCGTTAGCTGTCGCCGTCGGGCACGCCGAGTATCTCGATGTCCCGCAGCCCGGACATGCGGATGGCCGTCACCAGCTGCGTGGCCCGTTCGCTGTGCTTGACGGACCGCATGATTGGCGGCGTGTTGTCCCTCCAGCCGTGAACCTCCGGGTTGTACGGTTCCAGTGTGTTCACGTAGTCTCGCAGCGCGTACGGCTGCAGTTGCAGCGCGTCCGCGGCGTTGGAGTGCGTTACGTCCGCGTTGCTCACGGCCGCTGCACCGAGCCAGAATTGAATGGAAAAAAAAAAACGAATAAACAAACGAGATTGTGATGAGAAAACGACACGAAAAAAAATAAAATAATTGTAACCGCATCGAGATCACGTGCAGCCGATGCTGTTGGGTCGGATTAACTACGACCGCGATCCGATGTAGCTTATGCGTAACGTCCCTGTCGGAATCGTTCCGTGAACGACGGACTCGGTTGCCGACAAGCGAGGTCTCGCTGCAGGGGTTGATATCGAGTTGTGCTACGCATTAGCTACCGCAAAAATGTACTTTGTCCTCGCGGTCTTGCGGTACATGTCTTACACACGTTTCGATCCCGCCCCGTAACAGGGTTAGGTTTGGTAAGGTTAGGTTAGATTAAGTTCTGCGAGTTGTGTAATGGGTGTGTACGGTTCTTGGTGGGTTACCACGTTCAGTTTGGTCCCCCTCCCCCCCTATTAACTTATGGAGAACAATGGTACTTTCTTTGAAAACAAACCATGAACCAGAGTTCGGAATATTACGGTCGATAAAAAGTCTGCTCTTGTGTACAATTGTGTTTCAGATGCGTCAGATTTCAAATATCTTTTTTATTTTTTACATTGCTATGTATTGTGTTGTAGGCAGAGCTTAAAGTGAGTAGGAACGAAAAGGGACTCAGTCCCTCTATCTGTTACGGAACTTATAAAGCGTCCCCATTAATGTTTCTCCGAAAACTTAACTAAAACGCTAAACTGTTTTATGGAAATATTTACAGACAATAAAACAGTTAAAAATTGATTTTGCGATTAAATTGATGTCACTAGGTGTTAAACAGTATTTTACAAACAAAACTAACTAATATCAAATATAAATTATAAATTATGAATATTTTTTTTAATTATTTTATTTTATTAAATGATATTTACAATAAATTATTTAAAATAGTAAGTAAATAAGTTACAAGTTTGTACATTTTTCGGCATATAAATCGGCATATAGTTTGTGTAGGAAATTGTTCACTAACAACACCTCATATCATATGTATTCGTATACCTATTTATAATTAAAGCCTAGTAATTGTGTAGGAATATATGGAACGCTGAGAATGATTCAATATTGGAGTCCTCCTTGTCCTTTATTGCTACCCTGGTCGTAAGTTTTACGAAACGTTTGAAACCCTCTGCTGCACGAGTCGTATCAAAAACTCGAGGTTATCTTTATCCGAACGTTTTGTACGCATACAAATGAATTAAAATTTATACGCGGAATTCCAAAAGAGAGGGGGGGGAACGAATCGCCACTGGTTTACGGTGCTGAATGCAAATGCGCACGAGAAACTCACCACCTGCAATGGTTGTAGATTCAGTGGACGGAAATAATATTGCAGTTTCTCTTGATGATGATGATGATGATGATGATGATGATAATAACCCCGAACAATGAGAATATTTGTGTAGTACAAAGTTACAATTTGCCATTGTTTCAGTCAGGGCGCATTAAGACGAATTAAAACGTGTGCTACAGCGTAACGGGTTTACGTACGGATTACGAGTGCATAATACAACTTTATGTAAAGGACATATTGTACAGGCGTCTTCATCATTCTCCGAGTAAAAGGATTAAATATATATTTTCTGACTGCTTGTTCAAATGGATATGCACGACGCTGTGAATGTAAATTGAACAATTTTCAACGTTAAACGCTGAAGAGCTGGTGATTTTACGCGGTGAAAGAAGAGGACCGGATGAGTGGATTGTCGGATCTATTTTCCCGAGTAATTGATGTGTATACCGGAAGGTGCACACAAAATCTAAAGAGGAAGTTGGTGAAAAATATACTCCCTCAAAAATTTGTTGACAATCAACACTGATGTTACAACATCTGGACAAGCATAATACCACCGATTCAATTTTTATATTAATAACTATTTTCGTTTGACCAAGTCAGTGTAAAGGCGAAATGAAAATAAACTCGAAAGCGTGCAAAATGTTTTCGGATAAATAAAAATGTCGTGCGCACTTTATCGTAGAATAGAATTATTATAAGTATATTAAAATATATATATGCTATGAATATTAAATATTCTCATAAGCACGGTTTGGTGTTTTACTATTATTTCAAAGTTTAAATGAATTATTATTACCCTCGGAAAACAAGTATGATTTTACTTTAGACTTTGCAATACTCTTTAGAGTTAATTAAAATAAAATAAATCATTGAGTGTATTTCTTAATTGAATTTAGTTTTTATTATATGTTATTATTGACCCTCGGATATGATATTATGTTTTCTTTTTTTTGCTTTCCTAATAAATATAAATTACAGCGTAATTCAAATTTCATATTTTACAAATATTAATCGTTGTGTAAATTATAGTTTCAATATTATAAAGTGTATATTATTCTATTGATTATTGATTTGTTTTTATTTTTTTAATATGAAAACGAATCAAATATTGTTAGATTTAAACGAATTTAGATTACAATTTAAACTAAGTGAAAAATTCTTTGAAATTTTAATTATATAAAAATAAAATTTGACCACGTATTTCAATTTGTAATATTAATTTACAGACCCAATCTCCTGATAAGATAACAGACAAAAAAAAACTTCTAACTGATGGAGGATCAGCGTTGCCATTTTCTAAAATAACTGATTAACAAAAATATAACGCATAAGTCTAAAGTTCATGGGGATTCTGAGGCTGCAGCCACCCTCTATGCAATCTCTAAACAAGAGCTTGGCTTCTGTGGAGAATAAAGTATTCTATAATTTTTTTTCTTCAGAAAATGCAAAGATAATGGTCCAGTAGTTTACGGAATAATTTATTTTACATAGGACACTCATAATGCAATTACATCGGTAAGTGTTTTACGTTAATTCTAATAGCTCTTATTAAGATATGAATTTCGTATTTAACTAGGAAATATGAATAACTACTTCTTTTTTCTTCTTTTATCATATCCATTAAATATGATTGTATTTGATTATGTTAACGCAACCAAGTTACCCGGAAAAATAAGCCCCACCCGCAGACGTTTACCAAATATAAATTGCAAATGTGCGATCCCGGTTTCCCATGGGAAAATTGTGCGTGCGCATTGATTTTTCTTTCTTTTTAAGCGGATAACGGCCATTTGAAGCGTAATCGCTCAGACTGTAGGATGTGCGTTGTTGTTGTACGGGGTATGTCCTCGATTATTTGTTTATCATTATTTATAAGTTTACAACCATTTTATATACACGTTACGATACTGGAGGTAAACAAGGTCAATGACATTTACCCTTGTTGGACAAGAAGAAAAATGGTAATGTGTGCATAACCCTAAAAAATACTCGTATATTGATTAAGACGATGTACATTCACACACGTGCGCGTTCACTCACACACACATACACACACGCGTACACGTACACGTACACACACAGACACGTACATGTACACATACACATACACAAGCCCACACACACGAATACACACGAACGAAAGTATATACACAAGCACACACACACACACACACACACACACACACAAGCACAAACGGTTTTGTCGCCTTCGTAATTTGTTTCGTGGCAGTTGTATGGTCTCTCCTTGTTTTTCTCCCCTTTCAGTGCAACAGACAAATTTTCCGGTTTTTACTCTACCAACACGCAATGAAGTATGGAGAATAATATAATGTCTATATTCATTATTATAATCACATGCGTATTCGAAAATAGTATTCGCGACAGGTCGGAGGAACTTGATTACTAGTGCTCGGATTTTAAAGCAAATTAAATAAAAAAAATGCATAAAATTGTTTTAATAAAGGCAAAAAGAATAAGTACGAATAAAAGCTAACTCGAATCATGAAAACAATTAAATAAAAAAAATGTAATAATTATTTTAGATTGTAAAATGAACTAACGCCACCATATGTGTGGTTAGATTTTCAGTTGTGAAATTGACTATTATCAGACAAAATGTTTTTATACATCGAGAACAAATGCTCTACATCCATTGAAGTGATTGGTGCATGCTCCATACAAGCTGTTTCGTTTAAATAAAACCCATGATAATCAATATTTGATGAATCACCACGCAGTATGTTGTCAATGTCTTATAATTATTTACGGCCCTTGTTTTTTGTCGAAAGAACACCGTTTAATTTACCCGAAATGTTTAACAGTTGAAATGTGGATAGATGTACTGATAACATTACGATTAACCGAACGTTTAAACATTTGATAATCTAACCGATAAACGAAAATAACCTAATAACCGTAGTCACTATTCCGTGTTTGACATAGATCGAGAACTGTATCCACTGTCATACATAACTAAGAAGCATATTTTGAAATTTCTTATCAATTAAATTATATTTTTTTCTTCGTTATTGTAGCACAAAAAACGTATTAAAATTCCACAGCTGGAGTATTAGCGAAAAAGCAATCAAAAATAACATTTGTACAAGCCGAAAGAAGTATATAAAAAAAAAAAAAAATTGGTTCATTTGGAATCGGAATGACACGAAACGAATTCACGTGTAAAAATTAGATTTCTATATCATATCGGAATAAAAAAACATACGCTTTAAAATCCAAACACAATTACGTTGTAATGATAACGAATCGTAATATATACCCGTGTGCGGATAATTCGTCCCGCCCGAAAGTGCGAGTCCGGCGAGTGATTGGTTTTATTATTTTTAATATTTTATTTTTTTTTTATTTTTTTGGATCGTTGTTGCTAGGTTATATAACGATGCGTTCGTATTAAATTATTCAAAACGTATGGTCGATCATATGTTCGCGGTTAGGTTACGTAGAACGAAATACACGGAGTGACCTTCAAAAATGGTGGGAGGGGGAGACAGCGGGTGACCTTGGGAATGGACACCACCGCCGCCGTCGCCACCACCAATCGATCGTTCAACTCGCCGAACACACGAGATATATATATATATATATATATATATGTGTATTAAATAAGTGTACTGCGATTGCATGGCATTTAGGAATGTGGGTCAAAAAGCTACGTGTTCGAAATTATGTTTCAAAAGCGGTACACATATCGTTTCACGGTCATTGTTGTGCGTATATTTTTATTCACGCGATCCTCTCGGAATGCGTTGTCGGCAGGTCTTACCCAAGTTTTCGGGAAGTTCGTTCTGTTGTTTCCAGCAGCAGAATATTTCTGAAATAATCCATCTGAAGAAACTTTTGCTCGAGTTATTCATCACACGGTACCTGACGGATACCGAACAGTACAGAATATTCGCTTCCGTCATAGTCCATCTCGACTGCAACAACACAATACAATATCGCCGGTATTAATATCATATGATTCGATCGACGATGACGACGACGACATTTTAACGCTTTTTTTTTTTTTTTTTTTTCGTACAAACGTTTGCCGGTAACGCGGTAACCAAAGATCGGTTTCGTAACCTGGGTACCGGGTCTCTCCGTAAAACATTAACGACAACTGCCCCTCGGGTTTTACCTATACATTATGCAAGCGTGTGTGTTTGTGTGTGTGTGCGTGTCGCGCGCGCAAACGCTACAAGAACGTTGACTGTTCGTGGAATCGTTCATATCAGTGTCGTGTGTATGTTCGTTAAAATTTCATGATGCGATAATTAGAAAACCTACACACAGCTTAGAAACTTCTCTAAGGCCGCCGTGGTTTCGTATCCGATAACCTTGGGCCGTTAAACTTCATAAGTGCGGTGCGGTGAGCTTCGAAAAACTTTTTCAAAACTTTTCGTAACACATTTAACCACTTCGCGTTTGAACTTGAAAGTTTTATTTACGTCTATGAGCCTACGAAGTGTCGGAAACATGGTTTCACGACGTTTGAAATCTACAGCGAATATTGTTTATAAACATTCCGATGCGAACAAGCGCGTTTGTAATCCATGTTGCGATCGTTACGAACCCATAGGATCGATACTGATATGCTCAAATAAATCAGACGTTCTGCGACTCGCGAATTGCACGGGGCACATCGTTTTTTTGTCCGAGCATGGGGCACGACGTTTACTATTTTTGGCGATCGGTTATTTTTAAGCCGTGATCCACGATCGAAATAAAACTCGACATTCGCGTTTCGATAACATTCAAAACGTACGATCTGTTACGGCGGATACGACGGTGTCGACTCGAAATATTTTAATTAAAAAATGCGATAAATAAGTTCCTCGTGAATTACATTCGAAAAATGAGATAAACTCGTCGTTCTCTTGAAGCATTAACGTTAATTTAAAATAAGTTTTTAAGATGTCGCTTCGAGAAATTTGATTTGAACGGCTGCCACGTGAACCCCGAGTCGCGGCTTGAATGACATTCGGTGCCAAGAGAAAGAGAAATAATATTTTTAGATGTGCTTTAATGTGCGTTTATAATTACGTGTCTCTTAAAATGTCCTCCCGTTCGTAAACACTTCGCTATCGATGGTCCCGATGGAAGAACAACTGTCTATGACTTTCTTTATCATCTTCCATTGTTGGCTATTCGGACGTTATCTTCAGAACGATGACCAAACATCGAGGCAGAGGAAAAATAACAAAAAAAAAAAAAAAAATAAGTATAAAAAAAAATGAGAATACAGTTAAAATAGATGAATAATTAACGTTCACGATTTAATTGTGCATTGCTGTTTTATTTATGACTCGTTCATTGTAAAACAACAAGTAAATCAACGGAAAAAAAATACAGCTATTATATTAAACGAAAAAAAAAGAAGAAAACTGAGTTGTAAATGCATGTAACTATTATTATACATGCACTGGTGACGGCGTTGTCGACGATGTCGTGTCGAACTTTTGACTGACCCAACAAAGGGCGAACCGCGAACACTGAGACCTTAAAACGATAGAGCGCTACCTTTAACAACAATAAATAATCGTAAAAAAATACTGGCGCGACAGTGAGGAGTGAGAGAGAAAACAAAAAATGATTACTTTTTACCCTTACGTGACGTGTCCTCCTTTCGTTTCGTCTCAAGCCGTCATAATAAATAATACATTTTTTTTTCTTTCTAAATTAATTTCATTTCATTTTACCAATCAGGTGGTATGTCTTTAAATCACACATAGATATTATAATATACTGAGAAAACGGAATACAATCGTTTACCGGAAAAAAACAAGTCGAATGTGACTTAACATTTCAATTCGACATAATAGTATGCCCTCTTGTTCTGTTTTACATATTATTACAGAAACAGAAGTATCCGCACACTGAATATACGTATCTACAAATGCTGCAAGATAATTGTGACGTTCGGCACAATATTTGTAGGCGTTAAAATAATTAAAAGTTAAATACTCTTAGTTAACGTACGTGCGCGATCGCGTGTATCTTTATTTAATGCATTTTTGAAATTGTTATTGATTAAAATTGTAGCTTACACTCTAAGCTTATATAAAATTTAATGTGATATATATAAATATTTTTAAATACATAACATAACGTCCATAAAGATTTAACTAAAAAAAATTTGCAAAATAATAAATATGTTTTTATACAATAATTGATAAAAATAAAAAATAAAAAATAGAGAATTATATTCGAATCATTCATAAGAATTGATACAGTAAGAGAAAGCTTAGAGAATAACTGATTCCACTAGACGATTTTGGTTTAATTGTGTAACCGATGTGAAATGATAAATAAATACCGTTAACAAATAATTCGGTTTGATCTTTAATACTATCATTGATTCTATATAATTTTTAAGCTAGAAAAATACATGTATTTCGAATAATTATATGTGGTTGCACATGGAGGTAAATTTTAAATAATTACACAGATATATATATATATATATATATATGTTTAATATATAAATTAACATTATCAAATCCCTGTTGATATTTTGTTGGTATGTTATGGAAATCATTGGTTTTGCAATTTCAAATTCTGTGTGAATTGAAGAAGCTGTTTTATATTTTAGTTTTGAAATAATAATTCTTACCAGTATTTTTATAATAGTTATAAAAATAAAATTCAATTGTTGTATCGGTCAATCGATACGAAGTCATTTTGGTTGTAAAAAGTTCACGTAGTTTTACCAAATCAAACATGCAGGTAGATTCTATTTAAGATAATTTATTTTCTTATCATTTTAAAATATTTCATTAAATTCATTCAAATAACGAAAAAAATCATCGTTGTTTGGTGAGAATTAAAAATGATTTTGAATGTTACATTTAAAATTTAAATTTTTTAAAAGTGTAAAACAAAAGCAATATTACAACAAAATCAATTTATATTAGGGTGAACGAAGCATAATGTATACAATGTGTTTTTTACTGTTACATTTATACTTTTATTATGATCGATTAATCATGAGGTTTAGTAGAATTAATTATTAAACATATTTGACGAACACGATTTATGCAAATTGTGAAAATAATGCGTATTAGATATATTTATAAGTTCACATATTATTTTTGTGGGAGAAATGTGGTATATAATTTTAAAATTATTCAAAATATTTCTATTATTTCGAACTTATATATCATATAAATATTTTAAATGTATTTAAATTTATATGGACCAATATGGAATTATTTTGGCTAAATTAATGGCTTTTGGGAGTAAATAAATGATTAAAATAAACAAAAGTAATATCTCGTTGCAATAGATCACATTAGTCGCAAAAGTGAACATGTAATTTATCTTTAAAGAATTTTTATGATTTAATTCATTCACAATACACGCAACTAATATAATAATGTGTGTACAAAAGGTTGGTCCTTATTTTTGGACTTACAAATTTTTGATTTCTTACCTCCTTATTTTGTTCATTACTATAAGAAAGTAGTTCGGGTTAAATTTGGTCATAATTACTCACTCCTTTTATGTGCCCCAAGAGGGTTGAATATAAGTGAAAAAGGGTTGTTTTGTCATTTTTTGACTATATTCAAAAAGATATTGCATTTATCTTAAAAATGTATAAAACATATATTATAGATATTTATATTTTTAATAAAAAATATATTTATACAATTTCTCATAAATCTATTATTTCCCAAGAAAAATGATAAAATATCGAATATTTTATTTATTTAAAAAAAGAACAATTTTTTACAGTTATTTAAATAAATTAAAATAATGGTCCATGATACGACAAAATATCTTATGTACAATTGATAAAGAATTTGATTTCCTAAAAAAAGTTAATTAGCAAGCAATATACATTTCATTGGATTGACTGTTTTATTGTAATAGTCAGGTTAACGTAAAAAAATTTAATGTATCTAAAATGATATCATGTTAATTCAAGAGTTTCAGTAATAATACATATTTTAATAACATTATATAATAAAGTTTATATAATGTACATAAGATATTTTATCGTATCATCAACCATTATTTTAATTTATTTAAATAACTGTAAAAAATCGTTTTTCTCGGGAAATAATAGATTTATGAGAAATTGTATAAATATATTTTTTATTAAAAATATAAATACCTATAATATATGTTTTATACATTTTTCAGATAAATGCAATATTTTTTTGAATATAGTCAAAAAATGACAAAACAACCTTTTTTCACTAATATTCAACCCTCTTGAGGCACGTGAAAGGGGTGAGTAATCATGACCAAATTTAACCCGAATTACTTTCGTATAGTAATGAACAAAATGAGGGGGTAAGAAATCAAAAATATTAAACAAAGATTTCTTCATCTATAGCCAAGGACAACCCTAATGTACAACATCCATGTGGTTAAAACTATACTATTAACTTTTTTGAAATTAAATTAAAATTCACATCTATTGATTAACTATTAATAAACGTATTACATATATATGTGTGTGTATTTATGTGTATAAAAATAGTAATACATAGTTATTGTACATGAAACTAGGTATGTACTATATTTATAAGTTCGGTTCTACCTATTTAACGACCTACTTGTACTTGGTGTTTCGATACGGGGTAAAAAAAGGTTTCTAATTATAGTATCTTATATTTTCTGATTTTAATGTGTAAATCGATAATCTCATAGATTCACTTATAATTGTTGTAATATGGTACCTATCGCATGCAATTTTATCGTATTATAGTTCAGTCGCATAGCATAGTTTTTTAACTATTATTTGCATATTTAATTGTACTTAGAGACGTTTAGTTCATCTATAAATGTCACAACTTGTAAGCGTTTTCAGACATTTATTTCGTTTTAAAGCTATAATTAATTCGCAAAAGTTAATCATAGTAGTGTAATAGTTGTATTCAACATCACTATTTTATAGTTATATAGTCACATTTTCAGTAATTAAATTCGAAATTCATTTTTAAATTTCAGTTCTGATTATTTCTATGACCTATTCTGATTAGAACGATAAGCCACGTGTAAATAAATAACGCTAGTAATTGGCAAGCAACACAACATAGCCGCTTCCATTTTACATGAATGAGTAATAGAAATCTTGCTATAAAAAATAAAAAACCGTATGAAAAGTTTAATACACGCATAGTAAAAAAAAAAAAAAAAACATAAGAGCAAAATTACAAACGTGAATGTATCAAGTCTCCATGTAGAATGTGTTCCATTAAAAACAAAACATGAACCTTACCTTTATGCACAGTGAAGTGGGTACGTGTACGGATTTTTAAGTTTAGTTTTATACCGTGCGAGAAAAAATAAATTATGATTAAATAACGAAAACACTCTGCGTAAGAATACATTTGTAATATAATATTATTTTGCTGTGAATTCAAATGACGGAACGTGTGTTCGCCGTTACATATGTACCCATTGGCATTGACATCGGGAATTCGCACATACGAGTATAATATACTCAGTATATATATATATATAGAAATGTATATTAATTTTTTTTGAAATGTTTGTTCAAAATAAAATTCCATATTCAAAAACAAATATCTGCTTTCTCCGACGATTTGTTTAGTATATTATTCCAATATTTTATCACAATAAACCGTAACACGTATAACATTGTATGAGTAGAGATAAGACTAATTCGCGGTATTGTACGATATCATACATCGGTGTTACCAGAGTCGTATTTTCGGGGAGGCAATATCCCCCCCTGAAATAATTAAGGGGGTGACAAAATGTTGCCCTCGCTCAGTAAGCCGTATTTATATATTGTTGTATACAAAATAAAAAATTGTCAACTACTTCGAAAAAAAAGTTTTAA